ATTTCCTTTTTATCAAGGAGAAGGGGCTCCGACCTTAGGTCAGAGTTTCCTAATACAAGAGAAGCTGTCTTACCTCATACAGCAGAGACTAGTGGATGATCTACGAGCTAACAAAATTGGTTAAAGCAGGAGATTGTTCAAATGTATATTTTACATTGGTTTCATTTAATTATATAAATGTGGACTTGTCTGCCAAGTTCTGATGTAGGGCCAACACCTTTTCTTTTCTGATCCATGAGAGCCCCATATCACCCTTCTTGTATGAACTGCACTCACAGTGCATCAACCATAATTTCCAGGGTCAGTTACAATTCCTTTAAATTAGAATAAGAACTTAAAGGTACTTTTGAAGCAATCTGAATGCAGACTGGTATGTTTTTTTTTTTCCCAGTCTTTTATGGTTGTCTTACAGTGGGTGGATTTTTTAAACTGTTTACTTTTATTAAATCTTGTTCTCCTTTTCACACATTTTTAAAAATCAATTTCTGTATTTTTTAAATTACACAATTACACTAACAAATACGATTTAAAAAAAATTGTAATGTTCATTTATTTTTGAGAGAGAGACCGAGTGTGAGTGGGGGAGGAGCAGAGAGAGAGGGAGACACAGATCTCAAAGCAGGCTCCAGGCTCTAAGCTGTCAGCACAGAGCCCAATGCGGGGCTCGAACTCACGAACCGCGAGATCATGACTCGAGCCGAAGTCGGACGCTTACCGACTGAGCCACCCAGGCGCCCCTACACTAACAAATACAATTAGCAAAAGTAGTTGTGGAAAAAAAAACACAGCTAGTTATGAATGTTCAGTTGTACCATGGGCATCAGCCAGTATGTTTTAGAAAGGAGTAGGGTCATTTAATCTCGGCTGTCAGTTTAAATTGAGGTCAATTTTGACTCTGCACGGACATGTAGAATCAACGTTTGAGAACACTTAGTACTACGACCTTAATTTTATTGTGAATTACCATTGTAACCTTCAGCACAGCAAATGTGGTTCTGTTCTTTTGGTAAGTTAGTCTCCAATGCTTTAGCCCTCTTAAAAAGAGAAGAAACATAAGTTTGGATGCTGCGTTATGCACTAATATTTTGGTTTTCTTCTAACAAAGTGCTTGGAAAAGGGAACCGGGAGAATTGTCATGAAAATAGCATATTTTCTCATGCACGATATTGCGTAACATCGGAAAACTGATGCTTTATTCTCACAGTCAAATGTTTTGGTGTTTTCCCACCAGCGTTTCTCTGACTTCTTCTGGGAATAAAAATAACAATGTGTTGATGATAATATCTGTCCACAAAGTTTCCTCCCCAAAGATACCCCATGGTAGCTCAGTCCTTGTAGAAGCTTTTCAGGAGTGTGGTTGAAGATATCCTAAAATTAGTAACAGTGCCAAAATAAAGCTCTTTTGTTCCTGAAAATGTCATTGATAAAATTAATGATATGCTAATTAAAAAAGAGTGGGATGAACACAGCTGGGGAGAAAAAAGTGATTCAAAATCACTGTTGTGTCAAGGGCATTTAATTTGAGGAAGAGAAAGTAAATGTGAAGTGAACTAACAACACTCTCCCAGACGTGTGTGTGTCTACATTCTTTTTTTTTTTTTTTCCTTTTTTCAACGTTTTATTTATTTTTGGGACAGAGAGAGACAGAGCGTGAACGGGGGAGGGGCAGAGAGAGAGGGAGACACAGAATCGGAAACAGGCTCCAGGCTCTGAGCCATCAGCCCAGAGCCTGATGCGGGGCTCGAACTCACGGACCGCGAGATCGTGACCTGGCTGAAGTCAGACGCCTAACCGACTGCGCCACCCAGGCGCCCCTACATTCTTTTTTAATATAAGCACCGTTGGGATTTGTACTATACCAGCTTTGATTCCCTGTGGGACACAAAAACTTGATAGATGCCCTCCCCCATTTGCAAACTTTAATAATTAGAGGTAAGGCTGGTGAACTGTAATAACTGATATGCATTCAAGATGTGATTCTTCTTTTTCATAAATAATAATGTGTTTTTTGGCCTCCTCCTGCAAAAGTAACTACTTTGAAATTTAATGAAGAAAGAAAGCAGGAGACATTATGTTCAGAAGATCACGTTTAAAAACAGTGTTTAGTATGGCATCTAGATTTGAGCCGGAAACTCAGATTTAAGTCTGAGCCTGACCTTAACCCGTGGCCAGTGGAATCTGAGCGTGTTTATTTTTATAGTCGCTTTAATTTGGGGCTTGTGAGTTTGTTGGTTTGTTTTCTCATTCGATTTTGGGGGCCCTGAAGCAGTGTTTTAATTATAGGAATTATCGTATTTATAATTTCCATGGCATGAAGATCAACAAAGTTTTTTTTTTTTTTCTTGGCTATATTATGTTATCTTACCCAGAAATGTGTGATCTTTGTGTCTAACAATGCACTTAAAAAAAAAAAAGAAAAAACCCCCGTGCTGCCGCTGCCGTGTTGGAATCCAGCAGAACAGCTTCACTCATCTTTACCCTGCTTTAAAAAAAACAAAAAACAGGGGCGCGCCTGGGTGGCGCAGTCGGTTAGGCGTCCGACTTCAGCCAGGTCACGATCTCGCGGTCCGTGAGTTCGAGCCCCGCGTCAGGCTCTGGGCTGGTGGCTCGGAGCCTGGAGCCTGTTTCCGATTCTGTGTCTCCCTCTCTCTCTGCCCCTCCCCCGTTCATGCTCTGTCTCTCTCTGTCGCAAAAATAAATAAACGTTGAAAAAAAAAATTAAAAAAAAAACAAAAAAAAAACAAAAAACTGTTCTCACAGAAATGTTGCCTTGAGTTCAACAAAGTACAAGCAGTTACTGGAAACGTGTTCTGGACAGCTCTGTTCATGTATGTTCATTTCAATTTGATTTTTGCATTCTAGATTCTTTTTTCCCCCTTAGCTTTGCTGATCATTTCATTTCATAATCACACTGACCCTTGAACCAAGTTGCACCGCATTTTTGTCACCCTCCGCTCTGTTCAGTCCTGCTTGTAGTCTTACGTCACCCGAACGAGTGATGAAGCAGGGGGGCAGAGGAGCAGGAGAAGGAAATGAGGGTTTAATAGCAGGGTGGGCTCTGTGCTCCCTTAAGTGGAAACATTAATGTACGCTGTTGTTGTTTCTCTTCTTTCCTTTTGCTGTGACAATTCCTGTTTTTGCTAGGAAGAAGGAGTTATCGATGTTCAAACAATAGTTAATATTAGAGTCCTCCGTCATTTATAGTCTACTTCAGCGTACCTGCGGAGGTGCATACCTCTTTCAAAACACACACACTCCCTCTTGTTTGAAGCCAGACTCCTCTTGGCGTATTCGTACTTTGAGTATTTGCGTGGTTGGAAACCAGAAACTTCAGATGCCACGGGTCACTTATAGATGATCAGAAGTTGGCAGTATAATATTTGGAACTTTAAAATTGTGCTAGACATGCATTTATAATTGTTTTTTACTCTTCCACTGGACTGAATACTTTTTAAGGGCAAGAACTATACATCTTCTTTGGTACGTACCTGTTGCTTACCCGAAGAAGTCTAATACTTGGTTGTTTCAAAGGGAAAAGGGGAGGCTAAGCAGGCAAGGCTCCAGGCCCTAGCCTTAACATCAATCAGAATCTCTATCTTATGTGTTGGTAGTTTTGGATT